TGCTCCTGCCTCAAAAAGGGTTCTTAAAAGGAGCAGACTAGTTCCATTTCTAAACCAAGAAATGGAAGCTCTTAAATGGAGCAGACTAGTTCCATTTCTAAAGCAAGCATACAGAATAGGCTGACTATCTGGGAGTGGTCCTGGCTAACCTTATCAAATTATCTGCTGAAGGGGGTGTAGGAGGAAGTGAGGATAGGTCAAAGGTGGAGACAAAATGAAGTCCACTTGTTGTAGATGGCAGCCCCTACAATAACCCAGTCCATAACGCTGAATGTCTCACGTGCACCCTCGAATAACTCGAGTTCCCCACATCCAGGCTGGCCACCCTTCCCCAAGCAAGAGCCAGAGTTATTTTTTACCATCAGATCATATCAGCCTTTTGCTTGAAAGCCTCCCGTGGCTTCCCATAGCAATGAAAATAAAAGCCAAACTGAATTATGACCTGAAAGTCCTTCCATAATGTGGCAACTGCTTCTGCTTTTGCTCCTACCTACCCTCTGCCATAGTGATCTCATCTCCTACAAGCCCTATCTCCAGGCCCGCACGCTTTAGCCTGCCTGCCTTCCCTCCCTCCTTCCCTTCCTCCCTCTCTCCCTCCCTCCCTCCCTCCTTCCCTTCCTCCCTCCCTCCCTTCCTTCCTTCTTCCCTTCCTTTTTTCCTGCCTCTCTCCTCTCTTTTCCTTTTTCTCTTCCTATATAACACCTTTATTAAGATATAATTCACATACCATACAACTCACCTAGGTAAAGAATGCAATTCAATGGTTTTTAGTATATTCAGAGTTGTGCAACCAGCACCACAATCAATTTTAGAACGTTTCATAAGATGAAATGTTCTTGCTGAAAAGAAAACTGTACCCGTTAGTAGTCACTTCCTAATTGCCCTGTAGCCCTGGCAACCACTAGTCTATTTTCTGTCTTCATAGATTTGCCTCTCCTTGGACACTTCATGTAAACAGAATCCTGCACTATCTGGTCTTTTATGTCTGGTTTATCTCACTTAGTGTGGTGTTTTCAAGGTTCTTTCATGTTGTAGCATATATCAGTACTTTATTCTTTTTTATAGCTAAATGATATTCTATTATAGAAATATACTACATTTGTTCATCCATTCATCAGTTGTTGGGCATTTTGGCCGTTCCATTTTTTTGGCTATTATGAATAATGTTACTGTGACTATCTACATATACATTTTTTGTGTCAACATATGTCTTCAGTTCTTTGGGGTGAATGCTGAGGATTAGGATTTATGGAATATGTAATAACTCTGCATTTACCATTTTGAGGAAATGACAAACTCTTCGAAAATGCTCCAGTCTCTCCACATCCTCATCAATACTTATTAGTATCTATTTTTAAAATTGTAGTCATCTCAGTGGGTGTGAAGTCATAATGGTTTTGATTTTGATTTCGGCAATGACTCACAGTGTTGTGCCATCTTCTCTTGTGCTTATTGGTCATCTGCATATCTTCTTTGGAAAAATGTCTGTTCAGGGTAATTTTGTCATTGGGTTGTCTCTGTGTGGTTCCACTGTCAGAGTTCTTCATGTGTTGTAGATACTAGATGCGTATCTGGTATGATTTGTAAATATTTTCTGTAGATTATCTTTTCATTTTCTTGATGGCACCAATTTATCAACTTTTTCTTTGTTTCTTATAATGTTGGTGTCATATCTAAAAAAGTCTTTGCTTAACTTAAGGTCATAGAAATTAACTGTTATACTTTCTTCTAAGAGTTTTTTAATTTTGGCTCTTACATTTAGGTCTACAATTTCTTTTGAGTTAATCTATAATATGGTGTGAGATGGGTTCTAATTTGATTCTTTTACATGTGAATATCCAGTCATCCAGCTCCATTGGTTGAAAGGACCCTTTCCCCCACTGAATTGTCGCAGCATCCTTAGGCACACTACTTTTTATCTCTCAAACAGACAAGCAGATTCCTGCCTGAGGGCCTTTGCACACCAGTTTCCTTGGTCTGGAATTCTACTTCCTTGATTGTCATTGGCTGTCTCCTTTTCATGCTGCAGGTCTCAGCTCAGAGAGGCTAACCCTGAAAACAGTTTCTAAGGAAGCCCCCATCCTCCACCCACGCAGCCCTTCTCCATCCTTATTTTATTTTCTTTGTAGTGCTTACTTGCCTGGACATATTTAATTTTTTTCAATAGCATTGAGTTATTTAAATATTTTAAGGGGATATGTAGATATCAAAGATAGTTCAGAATATTAACTTCAGAAGTGGAGGATTTATATAACTGTTGTGTGCATGTGTGTGTTTGGGGGTGGGGGGGTGGGGCGTGACTTAGAGAAGGGCCTGTGAATCAGAATGAGAAACAAGTGGGTGAGTTTCAGAATATTCTGGATGAACATCAGAACCAGGAAGCTATTTCTGGACACTGATTTTGGCAATGATTTCTTTGAATTTGACATCGAAAGCATGGGAAAAATAAACAAATGTATCAAACTAAAATTTTCTGTATAGCAAAAGATCAATCAATATGAAAAGGCAACTGATGAAATGGGAGAAAATATTTGCAAACTGGATAGACTACACTAAGTTAATAGCCAAAATATATAAGGAACTCATACAACTCAATAGCAAAAAATACAAATAAGCCACCCCCTCAAAAAATTAAAAATGGGCAAAGAACATGAATAGACATTTTTCCAAAAAAGACAAATAAATGGCCAACAGGTATATAAAAAGATGTTCAACATCACTAATCATCATAAAATGCAATCAAAACCACAATAAAATATCACCTCACAACTGTTAGGATAGCTATGATCATAAAGTAAAAAAATAAAGTAAGTGTTGATGAGGATGTAAAGAGAAGGGAACCCTGTGCACTGTGCAAATGTGAATTGGTACAGCCATTATGAAAGACAATAAGGGGGTTCTTCAAAATATTTTTATAAATAAAAATACCCTATGATCCAGCAATCCTATGTATACACACACAGGAATATTATTTAGCTTTGAAAAAGAAGGAAATCCCATCATCTCCAACAACATGAATGACCCTAGAGGACATTATGCTAGGCAAAATAAGCCAGACACAGAAAGACAAATACTGTATGATCTCACTTATATGTGACATCTAAAGAAAAAAAAGAAGAAAAGAAAAGTGTTTAATTCATAGTAACAGACAGTAGAATAGTGGTTATTAGGGGCTGGGTTTTGGAATAGGGGGTTGATGTTGAACAAAGGGTACCAATTTTCAGTTATAAGATGAATGAATAAATTCTGGAGACCTAATGTGTAACATGGTCACTATATTTAATAATAATGTGTTATATACCTGCTTATAGAGTAGATCTCCAATGCTTTCACCACCCAAGGAACACAAGGTATGAGGTGATATGTATGCTAATCAGCTTAATGCTGCTAATCATTTCACAAAGCATATGTAAATCAAAAGATCAAGTTATACATTCTAAGTATATGTAATTTTTATTTGTGAATCACATCTCAATAAAGGTGAAAAACAAAAATCATCATTTGGTAACCATCATAGTTATCACTGATTCAGAAAGAACCATCAGTTGGATTCTAAAATTAGTACAAGTTTGATGAGGAAGTGTCTGTGAGAAATTCCTTAGTAATTACAGAGAGAAAAATAAGTGTTTAATAATAGGGAAACCTGGCTGTCTCCACCTTCACGGTCAAATTTAATAACACAAGGAATGGAAAAGGTTGACATCATGTGTCTCATGACAGGACGCACTACAACGGAGAAGCATCCCTCCTGTGGGGACCCTGCCAGACACGCGGTACCTGAATCTCATCATGAGGGAGCCGCAGGCAAACCCGGGGTAGGGAACAGAGTAACTCCCCCCACTCAGAAAATGTCACCATGGAACAGACTCTGAGGAGCACTTACAGATTAAAAGAGACTGAAGAGATAAGATAACTAAATGTGATTAGTGACTATAGACTGGATCCTAGACCAGAAAAATCCATTGTTTTGCTACAAAGGAAATTATTAGGACAACTCACAAAATTCAAATGAGAACTGTAAATTAGAAAATAATATCCTGTCAGTTTCAATTTCCCAATGTGAAAATAGGACAGTTATCACACTGTAGGAAATGCCCTCATTCTTGGGAAATATACGCTGAAGTTTTGGGGAGCATGAGGGCATCATGTCTGAATTTACTCTCTAAGGGTTCAGAAAAAATAATGCACACACACAGTGATAGAATAAAAAAATAATTACGCAGGGCACGTGCCTGGGTTGAGGGCCACATCCCCAGTGGGGGCCATATGAGAGGCAACCACACAATGATGTTTAATAATTTAAAAAAAGAAAGAAAAAGCTTTTAAAAAATAATAATTACATGATTATTAACAATTGGGGAATCCAGATTAAGAGAGCACAGGGGTTCTTTGTATTCTGCTTGTAACTTTTCTACAAGTTTGAAATACTTTCAAAACAAAAATTTCCAAAACTGGAAAAGAAGACAGATATCTCCTGTGAGTCTTCTGAATCCCACTCAGAGATTTCCATTTCGGTGTCTTCCCCAGAGACACCGAAGATTTATGATAACTCGGTAAAAATGGATTGACGATTGATGGGCACTGAGAGTGCTTTTACACTTTCTCTTTTGAGTCTTATGGGAATTTTTAAAAAGAATCTACAATATGAATTTTAATTTATAAAGTTAGATCCTGGGACAAACAAAGATTATTCAAGGAACAACAAGGAAGCAAATATTTGTCAGCAGCTGACTGTAGGCTAGAACTGAAAGATCCCCACCAACAGGCCAGCCCTTCCTCTTAGAATTTATGGCAACTGGTATAGAACAGAATCGTGGCCCGGAGGTGGCTGTGAGGGGGAATGAAAAGGCAGCCAAGGATATGAGACATCATGAGACCCTGAAATTCAATACCGTAAATTAAAGACTGGGTATGGTTAACATAAAAAATGAATAGGTGCTGTTTTTCATTAAAAACTTTCTTAAAAATAAAATATACTTTTAATATAAACAAAGTCCCATGGCTTTTTTAAAGTGAAAAAGAGGAAGAGAGTCTTTTTGTCACTTTCTTGACTATAGATTTTCATCTGCTGCTTTAAAGAATCCCTGAAAAAAAAAGAACAAAAACCCTGTGAAGTGAGAGGCAGTGGGGCAGAGTTAGATTTGTTATTTTTACTTCAAATATTTAGATTACATGAGAAATTTTGAAAGATTATTACATAAAACACCTTCTCCACAGACTTTCAGTTGCCTTCATTAGACTCCCTCTACTGCTAAATCGGTATCTCCAACACTAATTTTGAGTTGAGGCTCACATGTAAACCTGAACATTGTATTTCCATTTTCTTTTCCCATAAAACTTGTAATCATATATCCTATAAAATTGTTTTCTTATGGATGGACCTTGATGGCATTATGCTAAGTAAGTTGAGTCAACTACTGTATGATCTCACTTATACGTGGAATTGAAAACCACTTCACCAAACCCACAGACAAAGAGATCAGATCTGTGGCCACAAGAGGCTAGGGGTCAGGGTTAGAGAGAGGGGCAATTGGAGGAAGGTGGCCAAAAAGTAGAAAATCTCAGTTATAAGATAAATACTGGGATGTACATCATGATGGCCACAGTTAACATTACTGCATGTTGTGTAGAAAAGTTATCAAAAGAGTAGACCCTATGAGTCCTCACCGAGAGGAAAAACCATTCTCCTTTTCTCTTATCTTTGGGCGGTGATGGATATTGACTAGACCTCTTGCGGTGAGCACTGCATGCTATGTGTATCTCAAACCATCGTGCTGCACACCTTCAACTTACACAGGCACACATTTCCTTTACTGCTCAATAACACTGGGAAAATACTTTTGCTTTTTGAATTTTATTTAGTGATTTGAGAGAGAAAGGGAGAAACATCAATATGCTATTCCCCTTATTTATGCATTTATCGATTGATTCTTGTATGTGCCCTGACCAAGAACTGAAGCTGCAGACTTAGTGTATCAGGATGACACTCTAACCAACTGAGCTACATGACCAGGGTGATGGGGAGAAAAATCTTTTTCTACTGTGTCAAAAGAAAAAAAAAAAGAATCCAGGAACTGTTCTTTGCCCAAGGCTGTCCTTTTACATACTTTCCACAATGGATTGAGAGGCATAACTGGTTCCATTTCCATCTCAGATTTGTAAATCTACAATTTTAGCTTTTATTTCAATTGAGTTCTGAAGTCCTCACAGGTTTTCTCCCTGACGGGACCCAGTGGATGGTCTGGACCCCTTGGAAACTCCTGTGCTTGGGTCAGACTTGAATCTTTCTGTCCAGACCCAAGTTCTCTGTGAGGCCAAAGCTCCAATTGCCCCAGAGAGCACTAGGAGGCAGCCATTCGCTTTCCCTGAAATGCTGGTGACAGTCATTCTTTTTTGTCAGGAAGTTGTGAATTCCTGTTGACTCGCAGCACCTGGGAGCTGGGGGGAAGAGGGGGAGAGAATGTCTGGCCTGTGTTATTCTGTCTGCCCAGCTCCTCCCCACAAAGGCACAAAGGAGCGCATTCAGAGATCTTCTCTTGGGGGTCAGGGGGAAGACAATGATGACAAGCTCTGGGAACACACTCCAACTAGGGAAATTTTGTCTTTGACATTCTTGAGCGGTACTTTGGCTTTTAGTTCTTGCTTTCACAGAATAACTCCTTGGAGGAGGTTTTTAAAACCATAAGGTCATGAAATCAATTTAATGGGCTGCAGCCATTCATTTTTTTCTAAAGATTTTATTTATTTATTTTTAGAGAGAGGGGAAGGGAGGGAGAAAGAGAGGGAGCGAAACATCAATGTGTGGTTGCCTCTCTGAGCCACCCCTGGGGACCTGGCCAGCAACCCAGGCATGTGCCCTGACTGGGTATTGAACCAGTGACCCTTTGGTTCACAGGTGGCACTCAATGCACTGAGTCTCACGCCAGCCAGGGATACAGCCATTCATTTTTAAAAAACAAATGTAATAGGTTGTATTGGAATAGACAATATTAAAGTGTTGTTAACCATAGACTCTGGAGCCACACCTGTTGAATTTGAATCTCTGCTGTGTGACCACTTACTAGCCATATGGCCTTGGGAAAATTACTTTACTTCTCCATGCCTCAGTTTCCTCACCCGGATAGTAATACATACATACATATTTCATAGACTTCCTATAAGAATTAAATGAGTCAATATATGCAAAGCACTTCTTCACTCACCTGTGGGTCGGTGGAGCTTGGCTAATCCAGGTTGGCTCCTCACTGCTGGGCCTAGGTCTGCTCCACATGTGCTCAGTCTGGGGTCTGGGTGAATTTCTTCTCATCATAATGTTATAGGCAGAAAAGAGTAGGCCTAACCTCATACGTGCATTTGAATCCTTCTCTGCTTGCCTTGGGTCTGCTAACATCCCATCGGCTGAAAGGCAAGGAGCAGGAGAGTACATTTCCACAATCCCATTGACCAAACCAGCCACAGGGCAGAGCCCGACATCAGTTATGCAGGGAACAATAATCTAGTGAACTAAACCCCTGAGCAACGATCTGGTAGTTGTAATCAAAAGTTTGCAAAGCATTGCTCCAAAGCAGGGATCAGGAAATGACTGCCTGCAGGCCAGACCTGCGGGGCCATCTGTTTTATAAATAAAGTTTTATTGAAATCATTATGTCCATTTATGTGCATGTTGCTGCTTTTGTGAAACAACTGGCAAAGCTGAGTGGTGGCAACAGAAACCACGTGACCTACAAAGTCTAAAATATTTGTTAGCTGGCCCTTTGCACAAAAAATTTGCGGATCTTTGTTCTTAAAAGTGAAGGTTTAGGAACTGATGAGAATTCAGCATCAAATCAAATTGCATAGTCCGCATACTCCTTCTATGCACCGGACAACGGAGATGCTGTGCAATGACTATGTGATTTGATTTGGTACCCATTTGTCATCACTGCAAGAAGCGGGTGCTTCCTGGTTTGCAGCAGTCGCCTGTGTGAAGCGAGGGAGTCCCACCCTGCCCTGACACTTGGGCCTAGCACAGGGCGTCCTCATTGGAATATCCATACGCTGTAAAGGGTTCAATATTGTGACTGGTTAAAAGACACAAGTACTTTTGCATTAATGATCCTCGGGATTTTCCAAACATTTAAGCTTAAAGAAAATTATGCAATCATCCAAATAAAACAAAATATTTGGAAACTTCATTGGATCCCAAACTCTTGGAAACTGAAGTCTTAGGTAGAAACCCATGCAGTAAACTGATATAAGTGGAGTTGTTAAGGCTCAGGGTCAGCGGGGAGGGGCCTGGGCTCAGGGCCACTTCCACTGAGCTATGTCCGGGGCTCACAGGCTGTCCCCTCAGGGGCCCAGGAGCAACTGGGAGCTGCCAGGGCTCCTTGGGATTCCTTCTGCCTTTGTGAGTTTTCTAATGCCCCAGAGGAGAACTTTGTTGTATGAAAAAATACTATTTGGAGGATATTTTATTTTTGTAAGCCATATTCTATTTGAGTGACAAATTTAGAATCCTACTTCCTTCTTTAAGCTTTTAAGTCACATTTACATGTCGTGTTGTGCTATTTACAGGGGAAACCTCAGGAACTTACTTTATGGGAGCCTTTGGTTAAGGGTTGGTTTCTGTTAGACTTAGTTAATTAACAACTTTAAAGGTTTTTAACTGCATTTATAAATTTAGTTCATTTGATTTGCTTTTCCATGACAGTGAACACCTAAACTCTTACTATGTGCAGAAACTCTTCCAAACAATTTACACTGTTAACGAATTTACTTCTAACAGCAATTCTAGCAGAGATCTCATGTCGCTGCCATCCCTGTTTTGTACATAGAGAAACTGGGGTGCAGGGGTAACTCTCACAAGGCTGTATCGCTAATAATGTGAACTACTTTGTGAGCCACAACCTTTGGCTCCGGAATCTAGGTTTTGGTTCTTACCCTCTGCAGTAATTAGTTAACAATAAATTAATTGACTAGAAAGACATTTGTGACCACTTTAGCCATTCTTGTGAAACTAATAAAAATTAAGCTTATAAATATAGTGTAACAAGTTTTAAATTCTTTTAAATATTCCATAATTGATTACAAACTTATTTTGGTCTTTTGCAGAAGTCTGTTAATACAGCATACTGTCCTCCAATGTACCAGATTCATTTAAGCATTACAAGTACTTAAAATAGCAAACACACACAGGTTATTTCCAAATTTTACATTAAGAAACCTTCATACTGTGGGCTTGACTTGCTTCATCGTCTCTGTAATTGACTCTCAGTCTCCTCTGGCTGAAGACGTTTCCCTGCTGAGGAAATAATCCCTCTCTCCCAAGCTGTCAGGAGTGTGAGCCACGGGGTCGATGCTGCTGAGTGTCTGAATAAGGACTGAAAATGAACCATTGAATTTGGCCAAGCGGAGGGCACAGTGACCTCAACGAGAGCAGGTCTGGTGCGTAGATGGGATGAAAGTGTAATAGGAAGGGTCAAGAGAGAAGAGCTGGAAAGGATGAGGAAGCAACATCATTTTAATTATTATTATTATTATTAATTGTTTTGTCATTAAAGGCACCTGAAAACTGGGCAAGAGCTGGAGGAAGAGGTAGCATCAAGAAAGGTTTTTAATGAAAATATGGAATATATTGTAAATAAGCTGACAGAAACTTATTCCACTTGATATGGCAGAGGAAATGAATCCAGGAGAAAGAAGGGAAGTGATACCCGGGAGGAGGCAGGGGGCTGGACTCTAGATCTGGACCACGGTAACCGGAGGGACAGGTGAGCTGTTGCTGGGAGATGTGGTAGAATCAGTGGGCATCTCTTCCAACTGCTTCTGTTTTCTCAGGGAAATAGGAAGTGAGGTCATCTGTGCAGAGTGATGGGGAAGGAGATGTTGGTGGTTTGAGGAGAAAGATGTGAAATGATCCTCTGGGGAAGCAGGAGAGTCAAAGGACCAGGGAAAGGCTGTGTGGCTGCCCGCTACCAAGCAGAGGCCTTGCCATGGGTCAGGAGGAGAGCAGAGAGGACCAACGGGAGAGGACGCGGTTGGGGGCGGAGCCTGGTGGGCAGAGCAATCAAGTTCAATGACGTACCACTTGGATAGAAAAATGCTTTAGATGCTACCCACCAAAATGGGTCTCTGGTGCCTGCTCCCTTCCTAACTTATGTTTCCTGAAAGTCAAAGCCACAAGGAACTTCAAATAAACACAGCGGTAACGTTCATGCCGGTAGCCTTTCAGAACCAAGAGGTACAGCAGGTTTCACTGGAAACTGGACAAGTGGTGACTTCTAGTGTTAACTTTTTGGTCGACTAATTATCAATCAGGGCAACATACTGAAATTTTAATTATCTCCATAGGGGAGCTAATTAAAAACAGGCAAACTGCTTTTGCTCATGAAAAGTGTTATTTAAAAATCTGGCTTTCTTTCTGCTGCAAACGCTTTTCAGAACAGCTCCTCCCAGTGGACTTCTTCCTCAGGTTGGCCAGCCCACCTTCTCCTTTCTACACAGATTCGGACTCTGTTCCATTCCATCTCCTTCCTTGGTCAGAGGTTCCGGTCCAATCCAGGGTTTCTCATCCTCAGCACTATTGACATTTGGGGCTGGATAATTCTTTGCTGTGGGGGCTGTGCTGTGCATTGTAGGATGGTTAGCAGCAGCCTTGGCCTCCTCCCACCGAACGTCAGTGGACCGTTCACCCCCACCGTGTTGTGAGGACCGGAAGTGTCTCCAGACATTGCCAAATGTCCCCTGAGGGCAACATGGTCCCCAGTTGGTCTATTAAGATTGGGAACAGTGGGGCCCAGAGGTAACTTAAATTAGAGCCCCATGTGGACTCTCCCATGGCAACCCCAACAGTACAAATTAAGTCTCTGGTGGAACAGAATGAGATTTGATGATCTTGGAGGTGAGAAATTAGACACTTTCCCTTCTGCACAGAATGTACAATGAGCTGGCTAATCCTGCTTTAAAAAGAAAAAAAACTTGTCACATTTCCAACTTTCTCACCAATTGATGTGAAGATTCCCAGGACATGGTGATTAGTGACTAGCTACGTGAAAGGGACAATGCACAGAACTTTGGGACTGGGGACATGCAGGGAGAGAAAGTGAGAGAGAGGGGAGGTGGGAAGGGAGGAGGAAGGGAGAGAGGAAAGGACACAGAACCAAGTACAAAATAGGAGTTCGGCTTGAACTTTGTATCTTTGACTTTGCAGGAGTTCAATTAAGTATCACGTCTTTACTTATGACAGCAAAATAATGTCCGTGTTAAAATTCAAGTCATTCGACTCCCCATTGCCTATAGGATGAAGTTCAAACTGCCGAGCCTAGCAGTCGAGGCCTTAAGAGTGTGAAACTTGCTTCCATCGCCTGCAGGAATGCTGTTCTCTATTCCATCTGGTCCACTCACGGCTCTACAGACACCTTGCTCATTCCTACTCCTGGGCCCTTGTACATGCTCTTGGCCCATCCAGCCTCTCAAATATTTAATCTTCAAGGCCCCAGCAATCCCCACTTACTTTATTCACTTGCTCACTCTGGCGCACCCAGGAGCTGCGTTAGAGTCAAGAACAATAACTACACCTAAACGGCCCTTTAACAGTTCCTACAGAGCAGGACCAGATGCTGTTCTGAGCAATCTTTGCTTTAGATGCTGAAGAGAAATTCCTGTCTCCAGGGCTACCCACTGCTACCCCATAGGCCTGTTGGGGGCCAGCCAGTGTCTGCCCTTGTGATAGCGGCATTCGGTTCCCTTTGTCTCTGAGAGCAGGAGTGCAAAGATGAGAGAGCCGGCCAAGGGAGAGATGTTGGGAAGAGTGGCCGGTCTGATTCAGCTGGGGGGCCGGTGAGCCCGGGGTGGGGTGAGGGGAGCTGAGCCCACACCACAGGGTGTGGGGGGAGGGTTGGTCAGCCCACGCTGACCTTCGGGGGTGGGGAGAGGGGAAGAGGAAGCACATGTTTGCTGCTCCTGCTCAAGGCTTCCTGAAGGCGGGGCTCCCTCTTCCTTGCTGAACGTCCAGCTTTCCTCTGGGCGCACGCCTGCCACGGCTCTCACATACCCACTCGCATGCGGTGTCCAAAGCTTGCAGCACTGGAGACTCTGCTAGTGACTCCGTCCCCAAATTCTTCTGGACGCTGAAAAGGAGGCCTTGATTTTGGCTTCACTGTAACTTCATTTTCCCGACTTGGAACCAAGCTCTCCGAAGAGCTGGGCCAAAACCTCGGCCATGGGAACTTCCCGAGAGCTTCTGGCTTCACTAGCAGGATTCACTTTAAATCTAAATGGCCTTTTTGAATACAGAACCGTCTCTCTTTAGCCTCCTTTCCTCTCTCCTCATTTCCTGTTTCCTCTTCTCCCAGTCTCCTTAGTGTCTGCTCAGTTATCAAAGAACTGCTGTGCTACTTTCGGGAATGTTCTGGGGCCAG